ACCAACCCAACATTATCAACCATTTGTAACTGTGGTATTTTTTCCCCAATGTCACAAATACCTTCTATCTCATATTTGTTACTAGTGTGTCATACTTTTCAGTACTATCCCAATCTACATTTTTTCTCATCTTTCTGGCACAAAGAAAAAGGTTTGGGCACACCGAGGGTATTTTGCCGTCTCTGCTCCCATTGCTTTACTGAATTCTAGCCCTTGGTTTGTGGAGAAAAAGGAAATACATGACAATCATAATAAGCATTTGAAAAGAGGTAAGCATTAGGTGCTCTGGTGTAATGTTTGCCAGCCTCTGTAACTTTTTTTTTGTTGGTTGTTATTTGAATGGTTTATTATTATATATGTTAAGAGTTATTATTTTTGTGTTATTGTATTTCAATGTTGTTGTTTTTAAAAATTCACTTTCTTTTTTTAAAGCTTATCTTGTCTTCCATTTTATTTAATTATTTACTTATTTCTTGTACAGATGTCTAATATCCTTAGCTGGTTATATACTCAAATTGCTCAGGATTTGGTTATGTTTGAAAACTTTTTATTCCCTTCAAAGTCTGTAACGGATGGTTGGAATATATTATCTTGATTATAAAGCCTGTAATTATTTTTGGGAGGGAGGAGGAGGGCGGAATTTCATTTTGTTCATAGAGGATTAACTGAAAAGCCATTGTAGTTTATATTAACTAATTTGATTTTATATGCATGTGCAAGACAATGGACTTTTCATTTTTTGAATCATTCAGGACATTTGGAATATGATTGCAAGACCATCGACATGTATTGTTTTTATAGGAGTATCCTTAGTCAAAAAAAGTTTTAAGTTGGAGAAAGAGCAAAAACACTTTTATGATGTTATCTTTACTCAGCTGTTATTAATATTTGGATTTCCCTTCTAACAAAGTTTTTTTCTTTTGTTTTTGTTTTGTTGAGGCAGCTCTCTATAAGTTACTGGTGCATTTATATATATTATAAAAAGAAATTCTTTACCCTGTGATAGTCACCAGAAAATGAAATGGTGGTAAAGAATTGATGGTCTGATGTTGAAGTTTCTCAAATAAGTAATAAAAAATGTCATCATTTTCTGGCATTTTACTGCTTCTATGAGTTGAAAAGTGCCACTAGATGTTGGATACGTTGAGGATCCACATTTAGTTTTAATAATAGTTCTATAAAGCCGGAAAAAATAACGTGTTCTTTTATTTTTCCCTCTTCGTCATGTAAAATGTTTAAATGACGAATATTTCAGGAATGTCTTTGCTAAGGTCATGTATTTGACTGTTCTTGAAGGGAGTGGAAGGCATGCTATAATAGGAAGAATGTAGAATTGCTCTGCTTTTATTAGTAGTTCATATAAGAAAGATTTATTGTAAATCTTTGAATCACTTTTTTCTTGAAACAAACAGGCGTGTTTTGTTTGGCTGCTTCGTGTTAAAGTATTAGATGCGCTTGTGTTAGAAAGAGAACTACATGTGGTCAGCAGGGTATATATAGCATGCACGCACGCGCACACGTTTTGCCACTGAATCGGTCTTTTTCGGTGTTCTTATGAAACGTCATGGGAATCCGTGATGTATCCGCGATGTCAATGCACGCTTGTCAGTGGTTTAAGAGAATTTTGGATGCAGAGGTAAGGGAAACCAGGGGAAGCAGAAGTGGTGACTAGGCGTAAAACGAAAGAAGAAATGAGGGCTGATGATGGAACCAAAGTAAAAGAAAAAAAGTGAAAAAGGGTTTGCTACACAAGGTATTAATTATTAAAAGTGATGAGATGAGTTTTATTTGATAATGATTGCAATATCAGTTAATGACGATGATGAAATTATATATAGTTCATCAATATTATCTACGTCAATTGTATTCACAAACCCACATAAACAAAAGACAAGCCACACTACCAAAATTTTCCGCCGTCCTTGACATAATTATCGCAAGGTGGTAAGCCAGCCTTTGTGGGTACCGGTCCTAAGCCCAAATAAATAGAGAGGGTTGGTGTCAGGAAGGGCATCCGGCTGTCAAAACCCATGCCAAAAGGAATAAGGAATGAGCCGTAATAGGAAAAATCAGTGGAGGCGGCTCATCCATAACGCCGACCCTGTATAGAAATAGAAGAAAGCTGAGAAGAAGAAGAAAGATAACACAGCTTCTCGGAATGGTTACGCAACTACTATTATATAGCTAATATAATACAAGGTAGAAGTAAGAACTTATTGAGAAACTGATTATTGAAATGCCAATCAGGTGAGGGTAAATGAGATGGGATCAGCGTTTTATTTTTATCACTGATTGAATTGAGATGACACGTCACTGATAAGCCTGTGTGTGAACTGACCAGAGATATCATTAAGTTAATGGTTCTTAACCCTACGGCCATGACCCAAATGAGCGGTTTTCTGAATAAGAAATAAAATAAAAAATCGATAAGATGATAAAATAATAAATACAAATAAAAAAGAGTCCACAGCTGAATAGGCAAGTGAAAGGTAATATTTTTCAATACTTATTTTCCTTCCCGTTTCAAATTTATTGGAATTCATTGTAATATAAACCTAAATAATAATAACGTAAGTTCATAAACATTTACAAGTATAACTAGGAAATGATTTGATTTATTACTACATGTCCTCACATTTAGGGTCGCTAATCTAGGTTAAGTCTGTATTTAGGGTCACAACTGATTTAGGATTTCGGACCCTCAGGCATTCCAAAGGAGCCTCCAAACGAGATGCACTTAATGTACCCT